AGAATTGCGATCTCAAAATTGGAGAAAAATGACGAATAGCTGAAAAAATGGAACCAATTGATGCGATAAATCGCATGCCGTTCTGACACAAGATATGGCATCCATCGAATCACCTATGTATGTGCCATTTTTTCCAAGTGCACAGGTGCTTTTATAGATCAGCTAGGAAAATTAGTACCTTTTTTCACGATACAGTTCGATTATGAGCACGCGGGATGAAGAAGTGTGAGAGAAATTTTCAGGCATGCCCATGTGCAATTCCATGCATTGCAATGTGTGTTATTTGTTGGTGAATTTAAAAATAATTTTATCGTTAGTTTCAAGTGTGCACCAGTTTTCCAGGAAAACTCAACATTTCGCGCAGTTGTCCGTTTTCAGGAAAATTACGATTTTACAGGAAATCTTGATGAAATGGAAAAAACGACTGGCATTCGTAAACGCTGCGATGAAAAATGTAAAGGAGTTACTGCTCATTACATGACTTCGGCTGGATAGGTACCTGTATAATTAAGGAACTGTTAATGTGCATTGTAGTCGCTACGAAGTGAATTTATGAGGCGTCGCGGTCAGTGACGTCCCAATTGGTTGGTTGGGGCAACGGGCCATGTTTAATTCTAAATTTTTATCAAATCTCAGACACTTACAAATGGAGGATTTGCAGGTGTCTGAAACTGAATGAATTTCGTGTTTCAGTGGAAACTACTACGTGGACTGAACACGAGGATACCCTTGGTTCATGAATCGAACAATTATTGGAGAAGATTTGACCAAATTATGTCCTAATCTGCTACAATACATGTGTTTAAATGGGAAATCCCGCCAGGTGACGTCACTAGGCGGTGAATTTCCTAACTTTTAAATCTATTTTTATACTTTTTTCCATATCAGAGAAAAATTATAAAAAATACAGTGAAATCAGCTCTTTGATTTCATTTCCAGATGAGGCAATACACAATTTCCGCGCAAATTATCCATTTTCCTAAACTGCAAAAGTCCCGATGAAATATTGATTTTTATGGCATAATGGCAAAAAATAAGTTGCCGGAATAGCGGCAAACGATAAGATACGACGCGTGGGCTAATGATGCGAAAAAAATTGTGGGAGTCTTCCGGCGATGAAACCGGAGTCGGCCGACAAAATTGAGTAACTGCAGTTAGATTCTCGGCTGCATCCTCTCAATTTGCCCATCATGCGACGTGATTGTCAATCAGCTCTCTAAGTACACAGCCCACCGTCCGTCCGTCGTGAATCGGTAAATATTATCTCCGCCACTGGTTATCAGCTCATAAAATTTCCCAGAATTTCTGGAAACTTTACATCTCGGCCGCTGCTGTGTACACATGGATAGGTGCTCCTAAGCTCCAGCGATGATTTGTGGAAAAATGAGAGCCAAACTGAATGCGTGAATGGAGCTCCATTTTAATGTCTGAAAATTAACTAACTAACTATAGAAACGCATCTCCCGTGCTATAATCGATTAAAAGATAAGTGGAAAAAACACCAAAACACACATTGTTTATGTATAAGAATTTATTCATAATACGTACTTGAATGCATTTCAGGATTACCTATCCCATCATCAGTGAGATTTAAACAAAACAGAACAGAAAAATCAGGAAGGAACAAAATAATAATATCACAATGCATAGTTGCTAAAAAGTGATAGCACACAAAAAACCAACTAAGTAAGGCAAAAAAAATTAATATTAATAATAAATAAATAAATAATAAAAAATACAAGCAGTGAAGTTTAATACAATATGTTGAAAAGGCCCTTCATTGACTCATGTATAGCAACCTCATTAGTTTTCATTTACAGACATGTCAATATAGGCGCGTGAACAGCATACACGAAACATACAACAGCCCGCCAGTCTCTTTTCGGTAAGCAATTCAGGCACTCAATACACTGTATCGAGTAGGGGGTCAATACGTTCGCAAAGGTGGTATACTTGGTATACGCGCCAAAAAGGAAATTTCTATAGCATATGGCCAAAGTGCGAGGCCGCGTATCTCAATTTGTGAAGTTGCAGACTACCTGTCATACTTTTAAACTTAACTTCTTGAAAACTTATTTGATCTCTCTTCTCTATTAGTAGACTATTGTGTGTCAATTTCAAGGAAGAAATCAGGGTTTTTTCTCTTTGAAAAAATAACAGAGAAGCGGAACTTTCGAAACACCGCGAAGGAAATGCGTGCTTTTGCAGCTTGGTCATGGATATGATAGAACTCGGTTAAGCGAGGGACCGGCTGTACCGTGGATAAGTGAAAATCGCGGATAATCTGAGGCGACTCGACTGCGTTAAAAAAATCTTCTTTTTCTCATAAAATGAAGAAATACCTGGGGAAGTAATGAATTCCGGTATGATGGGATAATTTTTAAATAAAATACTTCGGATTTATCAACAGAAACTGCCGAAAGTTCCTCTTTATGAACTTGTCAACTTTATTTTCTTCGACTAAAGAGACTATCATTTGGACGAATGTAATCGGATCAGCCTAACTGCGTTTTAAGTCGCCTAATTTTCTCGCTTGTTTTATTTTGTCGACAGGCAACTAAACTCCTTAAAGATTTTAAACTCTCTGTGAATTTAACCTATATCATGAAGGATATACTCACAAAAGTTCACGTTTCAATCTTGCTTAGATATCAGACTTTTCTGTGTAAAAATAAAATACCACAAAAAATTGGGCAACGTCGGGTGTAGCTAAGCTTCTCCCAGTTCAGTACGTCCATATTATAGTCCGAAATACTGGCGATTTCTAACATTTGGAAACAATGTATTTCCTCCATTTAAATATATGTAAAACAATCGCTTCTTGGCGAGGCAGCTTGCCTCGAACGTAAGTCGATATTTTTAATAGATTTAAACAGAGAGATTACAATGTTGCCGACTTACAAAATAACAACCGGACCGGAAAGATCAACAGGATTGAAAAACTACAGGTCTAAGCTTTCAAAATAGGGTGAAATTTTTAAAATTCAATTCTTAGGAGATGCGTCCATATAAAACTTTTATAAACAATATCTTTGCATACATAAATTTGCATGGCTTGAAATCTTAAGTATAAGGATTTAAAAGTTTCAGTTAAAGTGGTCCCGAGTGCGGCATGCATAAGTTTTAAATTATCTTTGGGATTTGTTTCGTCTCATCGAAAGTTACCGAAAGGACCTTTAAAATGTTTTTATTGCCAAGCTGCTTCTTCAAAGGTATTGACGAGTTGTCTCCCTCAAATTATAAGGAATCATTGGTACGATAAAAGTCAATGTGATATTATTATACGCTTTAATTGCATCGCTGCTGGGTCGGGGCAAAGTGGAGCGTCGCACACTCAGGAGATTGTGTTGCTTGTTGCTGACTCGGGTTTTCCGGGCGCTTGCATGCGAAATGTATATCCTGCGTTTAGAAATTCGAAGAGGACTGATTCCGAGTATGAGAGTTAAACGTACAAAATTTACTTTTGAATAATTGTCAAGCTCCTCTGAGGGCAAAATTCTACTTATTAACTATATACATGAAGAGACTTGACTTCACCGTTTGCCTTCACATTGCGGTGTCAAAGCTGTCACATGATTCTCTCTAAAAAACTATGCGAGTTCCCAAATGGACGCATTTGAATCGAAAGGAACTATATCCATTATGACATGATCCTTGTTATGTATTTATGCTCATGGATCTAAGGACTCACGTAAGAATGGATATATTTCCTTTTGATTTTAAATACGTCCAAATACACAAAATACAACACGTGTTTCTTCCAAAATAAGAGTGGCACAAGATAGAAAAAAGTAAGTTCCTAGAAGCAGTTTGCATATTAGTTAATTTGTTAATAATAAAAGCTTCTTTTGGATATTTGTCATGAAAGTCGTCCTATATATCTCCCACCCTCATTGACTTCATGAGTCGATGTTACTGTGGACGGGTGTCAGGAATGCTCTAAAAAACAGTCGACTAAAGTGTTAGAAAAGTGAGTTTGCATGGGCCAGTTGCGCTGGTAACAGAATTGTGTTTTGATGCTTGATTCTTGTAGATTAGCTAAAAATAGGAAGATCTGTCCGAACAGCAACTTTCTACTTTCAATATTAACCGAGCGAGATATCGTCCTTTAAAAAGTCGGGGTTTTTACGTCATCCACCGTATTCCATCGTGGTAGTGCATAACATGGTATGTACTATCGCAGTGAATGACGTCATAAATCGAGTTTTTCAAGTATAAATAGTATCATAAATATATCATAATAGTATCATAAATAGTAGAAAGTTTCTGTTTGGACAGATCCTATTATTTTTTAGTTGATCTGCAAGAATAATGGATCGGAACACGATTCTGTGACCAGCGCAACTGACTCATGAACATCGCTGACTAAGTTTAGTGTTCTCCATAAACCAATGCAGTTTCGACACTTCTATTTCCGAATTTTCCTTTCTCATCCGTTGAATTTTCTGAGTCTTAAAATTTCTATCGATCTATTAGGTACAGCTCAATTGTCGAGAATAGTGTATTGCATAGAATATCAAAAATATTCCAAAACTTTTATACAACAATAAAAAAGACAGCCTTTTTGAGCGGCGAGAAAAACCGTGACCTCCGACGCGAGATAGCCTCTAAACCTCATACTGATAATACAAAACACCTCGTCTCGAAAAATGTATGAATCTCACTCCGATTGGCATAAAATTAATTATCAAGTAGTATAGAAAGTTTTCAATTATATTGTAGGGAAACAGGTGGTCATAGATGAGCCTATTTGGTTACGTAGTTTTTCACAAGTAAATAACGCACTAATACCACATACACACGAAAATATTGAATTATTCTCAAGTAGGAGTGACTTCACGTTGGCCTGCGATAACCTCAATTAATAATCGGTTCTGCATTGCGGTTTTATTTAAAGCGTAGGTGAAAGTGTGATTATGAATGCTGTGCTCATCTGGAATTTTCAGTGACCTTTTTTCACGCGTAACATAATCAACTCTATCGCGTCACGTTTTGTAAACATGCCAAAAGTGAGAGAATGTGCGTAAGTGTATGGACTAATGCTTCCGCATTTGATAAGAGATGCAGGGGTATGGTGAATCTCAGTCGCCGTTGAAATAATTACTTTCGATTTTTATGTCACAATTAGTCCTAGACTGAAGGTCTTTCCATGATTATAAAGCAGGCTTGGTTACGGCCTTTTTCAAAAGTGTGTTTCAACATCACTTTTATCGTCATCGTCATCGTCATCGTCGGCGTCATAAAACGTCACCATACAACTTTTGATAGAGGCACATACGATTCTTCTGAATGATGAAACCCTATTCATCACTACCTAACTACTGATTTTAATCAGTCATTTGCAATAGGCCCGTTTATACAATTGCAATCGACGAAAATTCTATTGATCACGTTATCATTTACCGTCTACTATACCGGTCACCACTCGCCGTTAAACAAATTGATCAGACTTTGAAAAACAGTTTGAAACATTTTTTATCAAACTTTGGCGAGAAATAGATCGACAGTGTTTTTTTTTCAACAGACAAATTGTGATGCAGATTTAACCCTCTATAACATGAAATTGTAAAAGGTTTTAAATTGAATACCGAGTTTTTGAGATCGTTTGACATGAGTCGCAGTGAAATTTAAAGTCTGACGTTGTAAAACTACTTTGCGGAATATGAATTAGATAGCAATCTAATGACGTTGTTTCCACGCTCGACGATCTCTAGAGCTTTATTTTTTTACATTTTATGTACGCTCCCGCATTCTTACGTAGGTATTTTCCGATGCATGTCCTGTAAAATGACGCAATGTTTTCCCGATAGTGTAAATACCAAGTTCAACATTTCCGTGTTTATGGCTATTTTGAATTACTTTGAGTTCCTTTTTTCGGTTAGATCAACTTAAAGGATTTCGCCGATATAACACAAAGATAAATTGATCAAAAAATATGAACCGCACGTTCAATTTACTTCGTGTGCTACCCCCCGTATTAACATAAAATGTCAGTTATTTTTTTTTTTTTTTTAAAGATATTATGGTCTGCATAACGAATTGCAGTTACTTTCATATAATTCTTAAAAAAGCTATTAACCCACATAAGAATTTTAAATTTTTCAAGGAAATGTTTTACCTATGAAACTTTATAGAATCAAATTTACAATTTTTTAAAGCAATCCCAGTTCCAGAGCTCAGTTGATACCTACTTTTAACAAAATACCATCCAATTCATCCAGTCTTCGAGAAAATTGTACCTAAAAATTGCGAATCAATAATAGATAAGACAGGTAGTCGGTTCCCTTTAAAAAATTCGTATATTTTACACAGGTTTGAGAATCTTCTACTTTTTCATAATATTTTTGAACTTTGTATAAAAAATTGCAACTTTTGTTTCTTTGTTTGTTCATTTAAATGGGGTTAATTTTTTTATCTTCGATGTCTCCCAGGTGAAATCACGCGCGATGTCTTGAAAATAGTTCACGAAGCACGGACTAAAGCTCTTGGACCTCTTAGTTCTTCATTTCACATTCAGAAGCTTTTAAGGGAAGGATTACAAAAGGTAAGGATTAAAAGTTTACTACTTCAGTTACGATGTATCTGCATTAATTTTTCCTATGAAACTACTAAGATATGAAGAAAAAGAAATGGATGTATATTATTCTAAAAAGAATCATGTTAAATTGTGTAGCATGCGCATTGGATTTTTTTAAAATTTAGTTGCATATAGTTTCCTCGAGCAGTTTACATCCAAATGAGACATGACTCAGCGCTTAGAGCTTTTAATCAGCGCTGATAATGAGCGCAGGGTCAGAACGAACGATCCAACAATGACAACGCCTGACAAGCATACAACTATTACTGCTCGATAGACACCTTTGTTGCATATCCAAAGTACTGAAGGCGCGATGGCTGTTGGTGCGTTGGAAATGAAAGATTAAGTCAGCTTCTCGCAGGCGTCATTTATCAGGTGGAGAAGCCACGCGTTTCATGCGGCAAAATTCGATTTTGCCTTACTCATAGAAGGATAATATGTGCAAATATACAAATAGAATAATTAAATATTGCGGCGTTAATATTTTTTAAATCGGTGACCTAAGCATTTTTTTAGAAATAAGTCACTTGACTATACTGAAACTGTGTTCTATAAAACGCAAGATCTTTTCAGAAGTTTGGCGTTTCGTTTAGATCTCAAGGAGAGAACTCTCGTGCCTTAAAATTGACAAAAGAAATCAATTAAAAAATACGACTAATTTAAAATCTGATTCTACTAACAATTTTTAAGATTATTAATCTAAAATTCTTAGGCACCTTTTGAACTTCATCACACCCACACCAAGAAGCTCTTCCACATTGGGATCACAGAAGGAAATCTGAATAGACAGAGATGTGAGATAGTTTGGATTTTTATTCCGATTCTATTTGCCATTTAAAAACCTGTAACGTTTAAAAATAATTGGGGGATTTCTGGCACATCGCAGAGAAATAAACTTTAGGTCGTAAAGAATCCTACTTTTTGGGCAGGCAACAGATATTTTGGTCATAAAAACCGAACTTCAGATCTGTAACAAACAAATTTTTCATCAACTGTGCTAGGATTGGACATCTAACCGAGGACTTCGTTGATCTGAATCAAAATTTCGTTTCTATGACCGATCGTGACTTGAACCAAAAACTTTGGTGCTCAACATATCCAAAGTTCTGCCCTTGGAACCAACATTTTTTCTCACAGTAAAGAGCACGCTGTGTACCAGAAATATGAAAATTTCGAAAAATTGCAGCTATTTTTCTTCACACATCATTACGTAAAACTTTTAGTTATTTTTAAACGTATTTCTCACAGCTAATTAAATGAAAAAATTGCAAGATTTTGAAGCAGTGCATTGGATCCACGCCCTTTTGGTAGAAATCAATTTCACCAGAAATGTATTCAATTTACTGATTTACTAACTATCACTCTCAGGTTCTCCCCGAGGATGCTCATCTCAGGGTCAATGGGAGACTTCACGTATCCCTAACAAGACTGAATGACCAAAGGAACATAATCGTCAATCGTTTCTCTAGCAAAGACGACTTGATTCAGGTAAAAAAATACAATAATTTTTTTTCGATTCTTTGTTTTCCCCCCTTTTTTTCAAATTATGCTCAAGTCGTCACTTCCACACAAAATAGTGTAACTCCGTTTCTATGCTGCAAAATTCCCACCAGCAATTTGTGCTTTTACGGAGAAAGTGTTGCTCTTTTTTACTCGAAAACATCACTGATTTTCCTCCTAACTCCGCGTAAAAATTAACAAAATTTTGTACCAATATTATGCGCATCTATAGTCTCGAAAAATGTCACGTGTCTTGACTGAGAATTAACGACTTGTTCATTCAGCAGTTTTCTTTTACCCGCAACTATTCCTCAAATAAAAAGTCTGTAAGATTTTAGGTACATACGATAGCAGTGCTCGATAATATACATAGCTCATAATCAATTCAAAATTGAACATGTCTAAAAATAAAAATATAAATGCGAGCTGAACTTGATAAGAAAAAGCAAAAGAGATACTGAAGATCACATCAGAAGTAATCGGCAAATGCTTCGTTGACTCATGCTCAACAGATAAATTTTCACGTGCTGTAATGACATCATACATTGAGCTTTATTTTTTAGAAAGCGACTGACCTAAGACCGTTAGAGTATGCGTGGTGCTTTGTCTTGCCTTGACTCTGCCTCCCACTCAAAGTGAAGATTCGTTATCATATCTCGAGAGAATAGAACTCGCTGTTCCTCGTTTCAATTCGTAGTATATTTAATCAAAGCATTATAATTCGCCAAGATTATATTCGGAGCAGTTCCAGGTTTCTCATGGAGCTTTTCTGAGCTTTCAAGTGTACTTGACCTTTCGCCACTAGTTGCCAAATCTGTCCTAAAATGATAGAATAATTTGATTAAAAATTGGAATTTCGATTGCTTCAAAGGGTTGGACCACGAATTGGTCAGGGGCGCAACCCTCCAGTTGTCATTTTTTAGTTAATTTGACTCTTATTGACTCTAAATTACTTTAATCACCTCTAAGTTTAAATCACATGTCACTCGACAAATGAGTCGATCGACGCGTCTCATTTACAATATTGGGACGATATACTCATTATTATTTTTAGCGTGGAAATTTCGTACTATCTAGTCTAATTTCTTTGTTCTTAAGTAGAAAAAGTCTACCCTGAACGCAAAAAATCTTTCTGGAATCTACAAGTTCCTGTGGCAACATGGCAAAAGCCATTCGTCCCATATCCCGGTTCTCTCCTTGCATCTGATAGGGATAAAATTGATGAGCGCAATCCTGGCCAAATCGAGTTAAGCGAAAATCTTAAGTCAAAGGTCGTGGTACTCGTCAATGTCAGGGGTGCTCGCGAAAAGTCCACGCTGATATATTTCTGCGAGCCCAGCGGTCTCATCTATAATGGAGCCATGCCAAAAAAAAGGCCGAGACTAAAGAGTACTACTTGTGTTTGTTTGAATCAATTCTTGCCCTCGTGTCTTATCCTCCTATGTCTCAAGTTCTTCCTTCGTTAAAGCAGACCACGTGGTAAAATGTACTAATATCGAAATAAAGTAGTGTCCGTTTCAGATTACTTTCCCCCTTTCACTGTGTACGCAGGATAGGGAATACGGGCTCTAAGAAACTTGGTCGAGTTGAAATTTTAATTTTATCTCACGAGCTCCATTGTATAACTGTGTTTTGAAACTGAAATAAAAACATGGCAAATCTTACCAGAATTCTGGTAAATTGGCTACGCTGATTTGCCCCACAGAGTGTGGCGCCACACTACGATTCCGACGAAAAATCCGAGATTGTCCCCATAGAGTGTGGCGCCACACAACAGCATTTTTGCAAGGTCCAAAAACGTGTTTTTGCTGTTGATCTCCGTCACAGATCCGTGGGTGAAATCAACATCACTGACGCCGTTTTATCACTTAAGTGGAAAACCTCGTAACAGCTGTTGATCCCCCCCACAAATCTGCGGCCGGAAATCAACGGCAAAAAACGGTCACAAAACACCGGTTGAAACGCGTCGCAGAAATTTCCCCCACGACCCGATTTTCACTTCCAAGTTCATTCCAAAAGTTGAATTTCGAACAGCTTGATAGCTTTTTTCCTGGAAACTCTAAGCTTAAAAACATTCAGGCGAGATATGCTCCACGCAGATATGCCCTACTGAGTTCTCCCTCACAATACATAATTGCCTATCGCCCGAGTAGAAGGCGCCAATCAGCCCCACGGAGAGAGGCGCCATTAAGATTTCTCCTACAACACACGATTTCTCACAGGATTCAGGAAATTTCGACGCATAATGTCGATCTCGCCCCTTCCTAAGAAATGAAATAAAATAAAAAAATCGCAAACATTTTTAAATTTTGGAATTTCATGCGTGGTTTTATAGTTTCTCCTTAAAGGGAAGTGTTACAGTTAAGAAATATCACCGAGCGAACCAGGAAAAAAACTTAATCTGTATGTTTGCAGGCGTTACTGGCAAGCGCATTCATTCCCTTCTTCTCGGGTTTGCTACCACCGCGTTTTCACGGAACACGTTACGTCGACGGAGCCTTGAGCAATAACCTTCCCGTCATCGACGACACGACCATCACAGTCAGCCCCTTGTGCGGGAAGAGCGACATTTCGCCCGATGATTCCTCTTCCAGACTTTTCCATGTGAGTAGAATTTAACATACACAGCAGTCATTTTTAGTTTACTTTCTGATTCGTGTTTGTTAAATTGAGCTGGATTTTCAGCATCTTTGAGGACAATTCAACAGTTAACCGATCGCCCAACAATTTCTGAATTTTAGGATAGCTTTGAAAAATTTACCTCGCGCTTGGGTATCCGTAATCAGGATGTGATTAAGAAAAACTTTGAAATAACTCCAGAGGTTCTCTTGAGTGAATAGCGCAAATAATTTTGTAGATTTATTCCGATAAAATATTATGAACACCTGCACTGCAACTTGGTATGAAAATCGGAAATTTTTTTATAAAAGACCGAAAATTCTAAAATTATCGACTGACTGTTTGACTATCAAAGCATCGTTCTAGAGCCGTACATACATGGAGCTCGAAAATGCCATAGAGCCTTACATTTCGATACAACAGATAGTCTACGTCACCACAGTCGTATACATTAAGATAGTTGGGATTGTAAGACCATATATGAAGACGCCCCCATTCCCAATGGACGAGACGAATATTATCCAAAAGTGCCAATTTGTAGCTTTACAACTACTTCTAAGAGAAAATGCGACGATTTTTGTCGTTAATCAACATTTTGCACACATTTCACCTAAAAATGATCCACTTCCTGCCTACTTTGCTCAGAAAAAAATTGTCAAAATTCCAGAAATCTTCTCCCAACCAATTTGCATGATACCAAATAAAGTTAGACCTACAAAAATACAGTACTTTCAATCACTGTCACCGATTCGTAGTCAGAAATTGTTGATGGTGGCAGTTTTTCACGGCTTATGATACATTTTCTCTGAGGTGGGAGGACGAAAAAAATGTTCGAAAATATGAAAACAAATGTCCCGTCTGTGGCAAAATTCAGTAAGTTGGTGTTTTATACTGAGCGCTTTGATCTTCCCATTTTCATTGACGAAGGTCTGCCGTGAAAATGAACCAAATCATCGTATTTGGAATCATGTTTTCCTGACTGAGAGCGCTGCGCTATGCGTTGTCTCCTTATTTGTTAGTATCGACCATGTCGGATGATGTGCATTGGATTAGTTCTGCATGATAAATATCAGGAGGAAGGGCTTAGTATTGAGAATTGCATCGCTATGTTGTTAAGAAAGTAATATTTCATCTTAAACCCAGACAGACTTCCGTTCTACGACGCTGAGCAAAATTGATGCACATTTTGATTCATTGAGCGGAGAGACAACTAAAGTCCTAGATTTCGTTTCACGACGAACAGAGAGGGGGATATTTTCTCCATGCGTCAAAGAACTGAAGGGATATAATCTATGTAAACGCAGGGAATGTGTGCAACTGAAATCTGCCACTCATAACTGCGCTGAACGTATTGTACGTGTAGTTTGAGAGAAGTTATTTGGCCACTGGATATAGGGTCACAAATGAAGCTACTCAATCTGTAATAGCAAAAGTTTTGATTTACCAAAAAGTCCAACATTTTTAAATTTTCAAATTTCCAACCTAACGAATGAATGGCAATTGCAATTAAATTTTAATCCTGAGTCAACGAATGATAAGTAACTTTTTCTCCTAGTTAATCGCAAATATGTCTCACGTCAGAACGGAAAAAGTTTAAAACTTTCCCAGAAATGTTTATACCTTCGGAACAAAGAGCCTCGCCAAGTTTCGCCCCTTTTTTTTATACCCGAGTTGGTCAACCGGAGAGTGCTCAAATGAAAGCCTATGGTAAGGCAAACTTCCATGCAAAGTTTCAATATGAAGTGACCCCTGGTTTAGGCTGTACAGCGTTGCCAATTTTCAATTTTTATGCGCTAAAATCAAGGATATTGGACTATTAGTCCGGTGCATAAGTAGACTAGTACACCCAAGTTGGTCAACGGGACGGGGCTCAACCGGAACCTTATGGTAAGGCAAACTTCTGGGAAAAGTTTCAACTTGAAGTGAAACCTCGTTTAGGCTGTACAGCGTCGCCAATTTTCCATTTTTATGCGCTGTACTCACGAAATACTGAATCATCATGGTTCAACAGACTATTATACCCGAGTTGGTCAACGAGACAAGGCTCAAACGAAAGCTTATAGTAAGGCAAACTTCCAGGAAACGTTTCAACTTGAAGTGAAACCTCGTTTAGGCTGTACAGCGTTGCCAATTTTCCATTTTTATGCGCTAAACTCACGAAATACTGAATCGTCATGGTTCAACAGACCATTATACCCGAGTTGGTGAACGAGACAAGGCTCAAACGAAAGCTTATAGTAAGGCAAACTTCCAGGAAAAGTTTCAACTTGAAGTGAAACCTCGTTTAGGCTGTACAGCGTCGCCAATTTTCCATTTTTATGCGCTGTACTCACGAAATACTGAATCATCATGGTTCAACAGACTATTATACCCGAGTTGGCCAACGAGACAAGGCTCAAACGGAAGCTTATGGTAAGGCAAACTTCCATGCAAAGTTTCAACTTGAAGTGAAACCTCGTTTAGGCTGTACAGCGTTGCCAATTTTTCATTTTTATGCGCTAAACTCACGAAATACTGAATCGTCATGGTTCAACAGACTATTATACCCGAGTTGGTCAACGAGACAAGGCTCAAACGAAAGCTTATGGTAAGGCAAACTTCTGGGAAAAGTTTCAACTTGAAGTGAAACCTCGTTTAGGCTGTACAGCGTCGCCAATTTTTCATTTTTATGCGCTGTACTTACGAAATACTGAATCATCATGGTTCAACAGACCATTATACCCGAGTTGGTCAACGAGACAAGGCTCAAACGAAAGCTTATAGTAAGGCAAACTTCCAGGAAAAGTTTCAACTTGAAGTGAAACCTCGTTTAGGCTGTACAGCGTTGCCAATTTTTCATTTTTATGCGCTAAACTCACGAAATACTGAATCATCGTGGTTCAACAGACTAGTATACCCGAGTTGGTCAACGAGACAAGGCTCAAACGAAAGCTTATAGTAAGGCAAACTTCTGGGAAAAGTTTCAACTGGAAGTGAAACCTCGTTTAGGCTGCACAGCGTTGCCAATTTTCCATTTTTAAGCGCTAAACTCACGAAATACTGAATCGTCATGGTTCAACAGACTATTATACCCGAGTTGGTCAACGAGACAAGGCTCAAACGAAAGCTTATGGTAAGGCAAACTTCCGGGAAAAGTTTCAACTTGAAGTGAAACCTCGTTTAGGCTGTACAGCGTTGCCAATTTGCCATTTTTATGTGCCAAAATGAAGGAATTCGGGACTAATAGTCCAATGCATCATAATTAAACAGACTAGTGCATCGGTCTACGAGCTGAATACTACCCTGAGATCGAATAGAAGGGTAACTAAAGGCCGTCGTGAACTTTTTGAAGCAGTGTTGCCAATTTATTATTAATTTTTTTAACATAAAATTCGGGTTTTTCCGAGATTTTTGGCGGAAAACGTACCTTCATGGGCTACAACTTTGATGAGTATGGGCTAAACATTACGACTCGATAGTAAATGAACAATACAGGCGGAGAAAATTGAATTCCGAACGCAATGTTGCCAAGTATATTTTAATTTCTTACAAAAATTAAAGATTTTCTCACGTGAATGCTTCGATAAACGTAATTTCCAAGGCATTCATGTCATTCTGATGACTGAATATCACCATGGCATAGTACATGATTTCTGTTCAAGGCAAAAATGGAAAGTTCAGAGTAACGTTGCCAAATTGTGTGCATTTATTTTACGACGAGACGCCTCCCAAAAAGAGAAAACCACTAAAATCACGTTTTGCCTCTCAAAAATATCTTCAAATTGGAGCTGAAAAACTCATCATTTTATCGTAAAAATGCCTTAAAATGGTAATATAGACTTAAAAATTCGTCTTCTCTTTTAAAAATCAATCCGATATTATTGAATGGTAATAGTTTGCCTACCTTGTATGGTAAAGGAACCTGAAAGCACGATTATTCGCACGAAAAGCTCAAAAATATCGGCGTCTCGTCGTAAAATAAATGCACACAATTTGGCCACGTTACTCTGAACTTTCCATTTATGCCTTGAACAGAAATCATGTACTATGCCATGGTGATATTCAGTCATCAGAATGACATGAATGCCTTGGAAATTACGTTTATCGAAGCATTCACGTGAGAAAATCTTTAATTTTTGTAAGAAATTAAAATATACTTGGCAACATTGCGTTCGGAATTCAATTTTCTCCGTCTGTATTGTTCATTTACTATCGAGTCGTAATGTTTAGCCCATACTCATCAAAGTTGTAGCCCATGAAGGTACGTTTTCCGCCAAAAATCTCGGAAAAACCCGAATTTTATGTTAAAAAAATTAATAATAAATTGGCAACACTGCTTCAAAAAGTTCACGACGGCCTTTAGTTACCCTTCTATTCGATCTCAGGGTAGTATTCAGCTCGTAGACCGATGCACTAGTCTGTTTAATTATGATGCATTGGACTATTAGTCCCGAATTCCTTCATTTTGGCACATAAAAATGGCAAATTGGCAACGCTGTACAGCCTAAACGAGGTTTCACTTCAAGTTGAAACTTTTCCCAGAAGTTTGCCTTACCATAAGCTTTCGTTTGAGCCTTGTCTCGTTGACCAACTCGGGTATAATAGTCTGTTGAACCATGACGATTCAGCATTTCGTGAGTTTAGCGCATAAAAATGGAAAATTGGCAACGCTGTACAGCCTAAACGAGGTTTCACTTCAAGTTGAAACTTTTCCTGGAAGTTTGCCTTACCATGAGCTTTTGTTTGAGCTGTGTCCCGTTGACCAACTTGGGTGTACTAGTCTACTTATGCACCGGATTAATAGTTCAATATCCTTGATTTTAGCACATGAAACGGGAAAATTGGCAACGCTGCACAGCCTAAACCAGGGGTCACTTCAAGTTGAAACTTTGCATGGAAGTTTGCCTTACCATAGGCTTTCATTTGAGCACTGTCCGGTTGACCAACTCGGGTATAAAAAAAGGGGCGAAAAAACACCACTTTTTGGCGAGGCTCAATTTACAAAAATACAGCAGTTTCCGAAAAAATTAAAAGCTGCTAAAATATAACAACCTCATTGCGGTTCTCTCCTCTAGGCACCAACAGAATCCTCAATGTAGTTGCATTGAAATTGAGTCCATAAATTGATTAAAGTTGGATAACTGCCCATTTTGACGAAATTAAGCCATTGAATCCTAGAATATTGTTTGAATATCTTCGACTGACATAGATACAAATAAATACTTTTGGCGCATGTTGAAGCACCTTCATTGGGAGAAAATCCATCAGTTATACACCGATGTCTCTATGTATAAGTTAGAACCCATAAACGCAGGAAACTTAATTATGCTTTCAGATGACCTATTCTCATTTGAAATTATTTAATGAAATTCGTCTGTAAGATTCTAGAAAAATTATCTTGAGCAAGGATTCGTCTTCAATATTTGAATTATTTTCTTAAATTTTCATGAAATAACTTTGGGGAGTATTGGCTGCCCTCTTGGCCCCTAACACTTCCATCAAACAACACATCTATACTCACCAAATGGAGGCACTCCAGCACGTAGTATCTGATATTCGATAAAAGCTTGTCCATCTAAAAGTCAGAGCGATGGAGGTCAAAAGGGGTGATCCATTTTTCTGCCGACGCGTGACATTCACTGCGGAAGTTAACTTTTCTTCTGAATTAATGTGTCTCACGCATATTCCAAGTCGTTCCCGAACTCATGATAATCTCACCTAGAAGTTAGGGCGCACTTATGAACTGAGGAAAAATTAACAAATTTTACAGTGTTGCGAGATTACAAGTGGACGTATCAATGCGAAACGGAACTATGTGGATGTCGGAAGAAGGGGTGCGCTCGTTAGTGCTGGGGCCATAAGAATGAATGGGACTTTAAAAGCGCCAGTGACGTCAGCGGCAACGCACGAGGAGCCACGACGGGGAGATCAGTGGCGGGACTCTTTAGCTCATGAGCCTTGTGCATAACGCTCTTGTGACATGCCCACGGCTCACGAGTTAGCGCTCAGTTCCTTTTGATTTAATGTCAAATCCCGCTTTTCCATTTTCTCAAAAGGAACTGTATCCACTGACCACATTGTTTCTTATCCAGCTTCCACGAGCACACCCAATCTTTCCACTTCCGCATAGTTCCTTTTAGCATAAATACCTCTAAGTTGTGTACGTGCGTTGACAATTTGGTGACATTTAATACGTAATGTTTCCGATTCATTTTTTTACACGTTTTTTTGTTGCGATTAATACGAAAACGAAGCTCTTACATCAAATCATTGTTTCTCGAGTGGATTTGGATGCATATCATAAAGGAAGTGGTAACATCAAACAGATTATTTTAAAAAAAAAAAAAACAAATATATGAATCAAACTTTTGAAAATATTTCTTGGATTTTAACCTTTTTCCTCAATTGATGAATGTTCAAATATGTTTTAATTGAAAACAAACTTAACGACGCCGAAACTACCAAACCACGTACCTCGTTTGCGATGTTTAAAAATCTCCGCTCCCATTTTATTTTTATGTTTTAGGGAGAATAAATCAATATCATTCCTTGAAGTTTTCATGACGTTTTCTTCACATGGTTAAAAAAAAGTCAAGGAGGTTTTCAAGAATTGACATCGAGTAGTCTCCCATTAAAAAAAAAGAACTTATGACAGGAAGTTTGCATCGCAGCGTCGCAAACCGAGTTACGTGGTTTGGTAGTATCACTGTCGAAAGACATCCATGAGTTTCTGTTCTTTTCAACGTTGAAAAGAAGCAAATATTTAAAAAAAAAAAAAAAAAAAAAAAAAAAAAAAAAAAAAACTTGGCAGGAACGTGATAACTCAGCGTCCGGGTTAAAGCTTCTTATCAGATTTTAAAGAAACTCCTCCGGGAAAGTTTGAACAAGTTGAGCTTACGGAACGAACTTCGTTTTCCCCTCATCCACCCATTGAGTGGCAAGCGTGAAGAAAAGCCATTGAATTTTAAGAGGCCCATCTTTGCCGGAAATTCACGTGGGAATATTGTTGACTTTCAGTGGAACTTCTCGAACGATTACATCGAAATCTCTAGTCAAAACATCTTCCGTTTGATGCGGGTGTTCCTGCCGCCGGACCCGGCGCAGTTGCTCGAGATATGCAACCAGGGTTTCTACGACGCGCTGCGCTACTTGCGCACGAACGGACTCATCAGTTGCGAGGAGTGTCTGTACAATCCATTCTCGCTCATGGACCCGGATGATCTGGATCCCTCCGATGACACCCCTTTGTTCGACCCCCAGTGTCCCAAGTGCATCAGTCAACAAAAGGTGACAAAATCATTCATTTGATCCATCATTCATTTCACTACGATTTGTTTGCGCGCAGAATGAGGGCAGTGGTCATTCATGATAGTTGGCAACACTGTTTTTTCTCTCCATTCAAATGCACGCAAAACAATCGACTCTCGGTGAGGTTGCTTGCCTCACCTTGATCGATATTTTTAATGGATTTGATTGGAGGAAAACCTTGTTGCCGTCTCGCAAGAATCCAGGGCCGCGGCCCGTGGCGGGAAATTTTGCAATCTTTTTAAATGTACGTATAAAAAAATCGGATTCAACGAGAAAAGGCGACAATATCTCTCATTTCCTGATAGTAATGTAAATTCTAATTTTGTCGTCTTTCGGTGATAAAAGAGACAACACCTTTAATTATTCAAGTTAAGAGAGAAACCTAACACGCAATTTGGCCTGGCGGCGTGGGACGCGGCGCAGAGAGCAATGATGACGAGGACTTGAGATGAAAAGGAGAAGCCCTCGGCGCGGCGCGGCGGTCGGCATGTAACACATATTAGCGCCTACAAGCCTGCGTGAATACTTCACGCATTGCGTCAAACACAGTGCGTTCTCCAGCGGTCGGCGCGGCGCGGCGTGAAACGCATAGCGCCTACAAGACTGTAGGAATACTTCACGCATTGCGCAGTAAGTGCACACAGTAAGGCCAGCGCGGCGCGCGCGGCAGTGGAAGTTGAAATTATTTAACCATATTTACGTTTGTTCTTTCATAATTTTTTCGTTCACTTCTAATGAATGGAAGGCCTTGTTTACACAGAAATAGGTTCACGGAACTTGACTTTCGCGCCAAGTTCCATGAACTTTTGCTAGAAGTGTTGACAGGGCTTTCGCAAAAAATGTGTCCAACATTAATAAACGCGTAATATGCACCCCTCCCCCTTTCCCTCCGGCACGTTTTCTTGATGGTTTTTATTAATGTTTCAAAACGAATGAGAAAGGGGCGGCAAAATACAGGCGGCCCATCGATGGCAAGCAGGTAAATTCGGTTCTGCTAAGAATCGCAATTGAATAGGAGGCCACACATGGACCGAGCTTGACAAACCGCACTTTGTCGCATTTTTTTGGGGGTGGGGCGAATTTAAATTGATTCGAGTTGGATTGGGGAAGGGGGAGTTTTGAATTTAACGAGTTGTAAATTTACCTTGTCAAAAATTTAAATTTGAGTGAAAACGTTTTACTCGAAAATTTAAGATAATGATTTAAATTTAAATATTTAGTTAGGAAAGTTTAAGTTAACTTTTACGTTATAAGAACTAAGAAACATTTATGATTCGATCAATGATTACGGCAAGAGGAGAAAACTTTTGAGTATTGAATTGATTGTCGCAACAGTTTACTCAACGTATGCATGTATCTTTTGACAGGAACTCATGCGTGCCAAACTGCCAGATACTGTGATACAAATATTCGAAGATGCAATAGATTTAGCCAACGATAGCCTCATGCATTTGGTTTTCAAATATAAAGGCATGAAGGTTCTTCTCTTCATCAGCCTACCTTATACTTTGTCCGTGGATATTCTAATGTCAATTACCTACAAGTAAGTTTATTTTAAACAGACCATTCTTCACATGATTCCAAATTTTCCTGCTTACTTGACATTAACTTTCTAATTTAAGGTGTAAAGATTGGAGCAGCTACCTTGCTTCAGTATGCTTTCGCATCAACTATGCAAGGACTGTGTGAGTGGATGGTCAAAAGCCTTCACTGTTGTCTGCAAGGGCTGAAGTAAAAATGGTTACACTTAACAGTGGTGTCAGTAGCCATGTTTGCAGACGAGCAACTCGTCAAGTTTGAAATGAACATGTTTTTTTAAGGAGGAAAAAGCGTCTGTTTCAATTGAAAGCAAAATAAACAGTCTTACTCTCTTTTAGTTTCTTTACTTCTAAATTGTATTATCATATTTTTATCTTCAGAAGGGTTACACATTGTCGGTGATTAATTTCTTGCGACATTGATAAGAGGTAGATCTCTTTGCGTCAAATTAAGAAGTTTCGTGGGAACCGCCAGAGATTAGAGACCTTTCACTGGAATATTGGCAATGGTAGCTTCTACTTTCGTGACTCCAAAATTTAACTGTTGACCGACCCACTAGGTGTATAGTTAATGTGTTGATAATTACGTTTCGCAAACAAACCGAAGGCTCCAAACCAAAGCTTTCAAGCTCATTACATCACCCGAAGCTCATCATTCACCTAGTAGGTGGGTCAGCAGCCGAAAAAATGGTGATGCCTGATGCCTGGTGCTTTCTCATAATTGTCCATAGGGAAAAGTTGAATCCCCGAGGGAAACAGCTTACATCTCTCACCAAGAGGCCGGTAGAGGGTCTCCTGTCTCAGAGAACCGCACACCACCTTCTCGCTCGAACCAAAACTTGATTCGTAAATCTAGACGATTTTGGTAGACACCTTGGATGAACTTTTACGTACCTTCTATATTTTTGTACTTCCCGATTCTCTTCTGTTTTTTCTCTATAAATTTACGATGACCATTTCTCTCTACTTTCTCGCCATCCTCAGGTACTTCTGACCTCCCTTGGCACATCGCGAACTCGTTCTCGTTTAAAAGTTTCGTGTATTTCGAAAAGGACCGCACGAGTTGGCGGGTACCTAAAGATGGCGAGAGAGCAGAGAGAAATGGTCATCGTAAATTCATAGAGAAAAGAACAGAAGATAATCGGGAAGTACAAGGAACGTAAAAATTCATCCGTTGAGGTGTCAATAATGGGCCTCAATCAAATGGACGTATTTCTGCCAAACGGAATTATGGTGCGCTCTAGAAAGCTGCATAAGAAACAACGTTAAAGTATGGGCGTGGTTCACTTTGGCGAAATAGAAAAGCGGGATTTTACATTCTGCCAACCGGAACTATGTGCCGACTGAATGCGGCACTCATGAGCCATGGGTATGGGAAAAGAGCGTTGTGGACAGGGCTCATGAGTTGATGCAGATCGACAACGGAGACGGCTTCGTTGCCGCTGCTGACGTCACTGGCGATATATAATTCCCATAGATCGTATTCGATAGTGGTTCGATGTATCGTTTGGGTTAAAACAATAGAACATAACCTCGACCAAAAATTTCAGAATTTAATATGAAAAAGCTGAAAATGAGAAAATTCCTAACAATGTCACTTTTCATTGATATTTGATACTCGAAAGAATCACAAATGACCCGTTACATTAGGTTTCTAAATTGACTTTTGAGGCTATGTTTACCTATAAAACCAATCGATATCGATAGAATCTCACTTGTTTGATGTATCGAATACGGTGTATTCATTCTTACGGCCCTCGACTAAGGAGCACATCAGCACACCCCCTCTTTTCCACCCTCTCTGGTTCCGCTTGGCAGAAATACGTGGGAGAGACCCGGCTGTAGTCTTACAACATGGATTGTGGTAAAGTGGAAATTGCATGTGATTCCAGGTGCGCAAAATCGGCAGTGATCACCTCGAAGAACCTGCTGATCCTGTCGCGGTTCGTGACGCGCGCCTTGGTGCAGCTGCTGCAGGACATGGAGCGGCGCCAGCGGCGGCGGTGGGTGTCGAAGGTGGCCGGGGTGCAGGAGCTGCTGGCGCGCAACCGCTTCGGCTCCCGGATGCTCCGCCTCCTGAGGCACATCGAGGACCGACGCACGCGCCTCCTCCAGACTGCTCTCCGGGAGATGCGCCAGCTGGACATCCTCCAGGACGAGGAGTTCCACGAGCCGAGCCCCCAAGAGGAGATCCCCCTTCCACACGCCCACGAGCTGCCACTCGGCCAGTTCCCCGATGAGGATCAAGAGCAGGATCGCGAAACGGTAAGTTTTGCGATAAAAGGCACGGTTGCGCTTGTCACAGAATCGTCTTTTCATGCTTCATTCTTAAGGATTACCTAAAAATAATTACATCCGTCCAAACAGCAACTCTCTACGCTAATGAACCGAGTTATCGCGTTTTGAAAAATTCGCCTTATTAAAAAAAAATTAAAAAACCAGAAGTAAATAAAGCAGATAGAAAGAACGGATTATTATATGCTGGGAATTTGAAGAGTCGGTATTTTATTCTTGAATGCATGATACCAGCAACCAGCCAGCCCTTTCGTGTGTGCTTGTCGTGCAATCATTGATATCAGTTTGGTCGGGCTCTAGTAGGCAACTAAACAAACTCTCTGGCAAAGCGGAAAGTATCGCTGGAATCGAAGGCGCTCATGATAGTGTCAGAAAAAGTTTTGCATCGAATATCGAAAATCATTATTATTGACGCCAAGTTGGTTTTTTCGCTCTCCTAGCCAACTTGAGTTTCCATCTAAGGACGCATTTTGCCCGATCCGTCGTAAGAAATTTGATGGAAAATAAGTGGAAAGTTCTCGAGAAAGTGTTGGAATAACGAGATTATTTACGACTTAAATTAACTCAAAGAGGCGGGCAACTCGATGATTAGCAATTCCTTTTTATTAAATTCCCTTTAAGGTAAATAAGTTGGAAGTCATTGCAATGTCATAAAAAACTCCTTCCCCTCTCCTCTCTTTGAATTTGTAAAACTGCACAGCAAACAAAAAGCTCTCCTATTTTGAAAGGACTTTGGTGTAGAGATGAGATATTGTAAGTGGATCAACCAATTACTGGGAACGCAGACGGCTCCTATACAAGGCGCTCGTTAAATTACTCCAGGTTGCAGCACTCTGTTATCACGCGGCGGCATTTTAAATGAACCTGTCAAACTCGGTCTGTGTTAAAACCATTTCCAGTTGAGCCCTGAGTTTTATAAGAATACCTACATTAGAGGGCTCTTCAGAGAATAGACATGTTCCGTTTCCATATAGATCGATTCAAATTCAGGCGCGTCTCAAATTTCGTTCCAGACTTTTTTTGTTTGAATTAAAGTCCGATGAATTATGTTTCAGAAAACGAAGACAGAAGTTTTCGCAGGCGAGCAGCTTAAAGCTAAGAGCCAATCAAAGGACTCGGAGGAAGGTAAGAATTAACAATCGAAGCTCAACTTTTAAACTTGGGACTTGATAATAAAGCCACACCTACCCTCTCAATAAGCTCGGCCTTATAATTCTGGAGTGAAGGCTAATGAGATCAATGAACCGCACCTATTTAATTAGTAATCATCGACTAATTTCAGCGAGGCATCGCCAATACTATGATCGGAAATTCTATGAATTCAAGATTTTTACCCGGACAAACTTTTGAGTGAGTCTGACAACGCTCAGTAACTTTTCTACGCTAATAATTCAGGTGCTTAAAGTTTTTGATGCTGAATCTCCGGAACTACTTTTGTGCCTGCGCTATGACACTCATTTTTATTATTAGCGCTTGCATTGCCGTCGGGCTTTGAGGAATAAATATGCCAAATCAGCATGATCACGAGGAAAATTGTTGGCGAAAGTTAAGAGAGTACCTACCTTAATAATTGTGACGTTTCAAAATGGTCGCTCTTGTATTTTCTTCTTAAAGAAGGACAAGTGTAAAAAAAAAAAAAAAAGGCCATTGATTTTATTTGACCATATTAAATGAGACGAAAGAGCCGAAAATGTCGCAAATTGAGATATACATGTATATGTGCTTTTTTACCGTCACCAAAACTCCACCTTTTAGATGATTGGAAAAAAATGTCTTGCTTTGAAAACATGAGAAAAAACTGCACTTAAAATTTGCTTCAGATTGATCCTTTTGCGGAAAAATACCTTTCAAACATCTATCCTGTGGAGACTGGTCGGTTTCGACTGCCTATTAGGCTATTTTCTCCCATTTTTTGTTTATAAAATTGATTTTTGCGGAAAATATTTTTCCCTTGAATCTTTAACTAATTTTTTTTTCCTTTGGGGGCCCATTCGCTGGGTTTCAATTTTCGAATAAAATTTAAATTTTCAGACTCAATTTCCGGTATTTTGCAAAGCAAAACATTCAAATAAATTGAGAAATTGTTTTAGCGTGTTTAGACTTGATACTTGAAAGACTAATTGCGGTTATTCCTCCCTATTTATTGTAATTTTTCCAGATTCCAGACCTGAGTGCGACCAAAGAATACTTGCCGAAGGAATTAGCACCAGATAGCGGATGTCCTGCTTCGATGTGCCACGAGATTCTCGAGGTATATATCCTCGTGAAAAAAAAGTATACGAAGGAAATTCGTGATGTTTGTCAGTAAGGCAAAAGTGGAACATTACTTGAAATTCTTGACTTTTGTTTGATCTTTGCTACCAAGAGGAGGACAATCGATATTGAACAAAGGAAAATTCTCGAGAGATTTAGGGGTGAGGATCGACCAACTCGATTTGAGTCCTACTTTTTTAACCATCGCAAATTGTTGTGAATCCATTATTTCGGCTAGAGATATTTCCTGATTACACGTTTGACTTTGAATCATTATGTCCGAACTACTTGGACAAAAATCAAATGACTTACTTCATTGTTGAGATTGACATCTCAACTTTATTGGGGCAATTTGTTAATTGTTGAATGCATCCCGATTAGTGATTTCTATTTCAGTTTTTAGAATGTCTTTTATATAAATAATTATTTGTATGAGTACAGCACAGATCATATGTTTTTAGAAATAATTTTAAATCGATTCAAAATCAATATCTTAAGAGTTGGATTTAAAACTCGCATGAAATAACGGTCTATCTCGGTACCTTAAAAATATGACTACGTGTGTGAAAGTGACCTGAATGATAATGATTTTGATGGATACTTACCGTGTCCCTGCCGTGAAAAATCTCAGTAATTCGTTTAATGAGATACTGGCACCATCATACTCATGTAATAAAATGTTATGAAAGAAAAGTTCGATCTTGCATTGGATTATACACTGAGCGGTGCAAAATATCAATATTTTTGGCCATATTGGTTTTAAGTTACTCTCTGTGAAAAAACAGATATCCTCCTTGAAAATGCTCTAATTTTGAATATAACTCGTTAAATATTTCGGGGAATTCGTAATTGATCCATATTTTAGATTTTTAAATAAAATTAATGATTTGTTTATGATATTTTTATAATTATTTGTTACAATATAATTCATTGAATTCAGATTCTCGTGTGATTTATTTTAATGGACTGTTTCAATAAAAAAATACAAATACAAATAAATACACCGAAAATGTACAGCTTGCCAAGAAGCGAATTCTCGGATCAAAATACGCACTGGGGCTGGTTAGCACCTAAATCATTCAGTTTCGTTGATCAAATGTGCATTCACGACCAATGACGTTTTTAGTCAGAATAAACAGTTGCGCTCAATGTATACATTTAAAATTGTAAAAATGGCTTAATACAACAAGCTCACTGTTAATATATGCATTGTGAGTTATACATTATAAGTGGCTGTCAAACTCTACCGGAATTGCCAAAATCAATGCTAGATACGCGAGTCACGAGTAGATTTTTCCCATTTGAAAATGTCGATATTTTGGGAAGGTCCCCCCCCCATCCCCCCCAGGGATCCCCCCTTCCATAGTCTTTCCTGGGATGTCAAGAGTTGTGTCCCCCATAAGGTTTCCTTCTCGATGATTGGAACAACAGTCCAAACCGGAAAAAAGTCTGAAAAAAGTTATGGCGTAACGAACGTTTTGCGTAACCTTAAGAAGGTGATTCGATGGACACTATATTTTGTGTCAGAGCAACATGCGATATATTGCATCGAATGGTTCCATTTTTTCAACCACTCGTCGTCTTTTTCGAATTTTGAGATCACAATTCTGTTGTCAGGATACTAAAGAATTCACTTACCAATTTTGAAAAACAAATTCAACGTAATAAAAATGTGGTTTTTTTTTAGCGATAAAATATCGCATTCCGGTGCATTTCCGATATCAGAACCGACGCGAAATTTTTCCTCTAAAAAAACCACACCTTCATTGCGTTTTTTTTTCTCATTTGTACGTAAATTTTTTAGTCTCCTGACAACAGAGGTTCAACAGAATTGCGATCTCAAAATTCGAGAAAAATGACGAGTATAGCTGAAAAATTGGAACCAATCAATGCGATATAACGCATGTTGTTATGACATAAAATATGGCGTCCATGGAATCACCTTAATTGCAGTTCGTTAAAGGATATTTTGGAATCCAATCAACTTGAAGTGGCCATATTTATGCCAAAAGGAACAAGCTACGTGCTCAGGATTTTCGTATGCATCATAGTAATTTTCTATTAAATTCATTCTTACGAAGTTCTGTCTGGCATGAATAAGTCCAAGTCGACATTTAATAAAGACGTTACGGAGTAAGTACCAACGTGTAGAAGTTGAGAAATAGAGATAAAACGGGAAAAAATTATCATTCAGTCATTTATTACACATTAAAAATGAGCAAATTTTATAAAAACACATTTGTTCATAGCTTGATCGGGAACGGGGACATGCACATGAAAATGATGTCGAATATAAAAAATCCTAATTAATATTCTATACACTATAGCAACAAGATGTACAGTATCACAAGGTGAAGAAAATGAGAATGAAAAATTCGTGGCTTGGGTCAAGTTTATTTCAAGCTTGGAAACACAATATCTGTGAACCCATCTGAATATTTCAAACAGTTCCCTCAGTCATAACCTAACATTTTACAAATCAACACAGCATCGTAGTTTTCAAGAGAAAGGATTCATTACAAAAGTCTATGACACACATAAGTAGCATTATTTTTCCGATGGTTTTTATTTGCATGCATAAAATTTACTTTTCGGCTCAAGACACAAGACACAAAAAAACACTCTAGACAGAAGTTTTGATGAAGATGAGGAAATGCGATGACTTTCGTTTAATTTAAAATCATATGCACAGAATAGGGATTAAAGTTTCCATTTTGAATTCACAGGAAAGTACAAGGTTATTTTACGGGGGTCTTGTAAGGGAGGGCGGAAGGGGTAACAAATTCGGCCGAAATGCTGCGCGTTTTACTTGAACGGTTTTTTGGGTCCTATGACGTTTTATCTAGACAATTTCACCTAAAAAATTAACCACCTTCGCTCTTTTTAGAAAAAAATTCGTCTAATGCCTTTTTACCTGAAGACTGCACAGATACATTTTCACCGAAGACACTTGATCCAACGTGTAAAATCCTAAAAAAAATTCTCCTATTAACTTATCATCCAAAACGTAAAAAGTTAGGGGACTCTGGATTATCTACGGATAATTGGGTAACATTCGGCCGTGAGCTGTATGTAACGTCTTTCCTGTGAAAGTAATTTTTAACGATACCTATTTTTCAAAAGTACTGTTTGAAAAATATTTTTGAAGTGAGTTAGATGAAAAAATGTTTTAGACGATTTCTCTTTCAAGAAAAATGCTTGTGATGACTTCCGGCGAAAAGTCGTAAGAAAAGGATCGTGAGGTGGTCGTTAAAAAGGATTAGGCGAATTTTCTCCGGGTGCAATTTCTTCGAAAAAACGTCCCGAAGCCGATCTGGGTTATTTTCCGAGAGAGAAGCAACAGCACTAACAAAAAATTCCCCGTAAAATTTTCGATTTGGTTTACGTCCGGGACAAGTTGCGCGTGCTTTCAGATGAGCGAGTCATAGTGTGACATAGCAGAGCACCAGCACCTCCATGAATTATTTCACGCCAAGCTCGAATGAATCAGTCGCTGGAGTTTGCGAAAATTACATTCCATGTTTACAGTGTATCGCGCGCAAACAAAATAGATTGAACGCCGTTGCCTCGGTATCACGGCTAAACTGTGCCTGAAAAATGAGAGACATAGCTTCGAAAATCGTAAAACTCTTCCAGCGTTGTTCGTTTTTCCTTTTTCTCAATTTCCCTTGAAAGAATATGTTCGCCGTAAGACAAATTAGAAAAGTAACCGAAGTTCTCTGTAAATATGGGAAGTAGAGTATACAAAATAAAACAAACTTTGAGTTAGTCTCTCTTTCGGTTATACTTACTAAATCTTTTGGTTATATTAACAAAATCTTTTGGTTCAAGAAAACCATCTGCAAATCATGACTGATGATAACAAAAACTGTGGTTGTTCAACCTAATTGTTTTGCTTAATCGATGCGAATCAAAATAAATTAAGCCAACGTAACCATAAACGCGGTTTAGACTGTGTATTGAAGAGAGTGGTAAGTCAAAAATTAAGTTTTGAGAAAATTAACCTGTCATTTGTCAAACGGAAAATTTTATCAGATAAAATCTTCGACTTTTCATGAAATTTCAATTATCATCTGAAAGCCCATTACTGAATTGTAAAGAATTTAACTTTTAATTATAGCCTCTACTCACGTTAGGCAAGACAGCCGTTTGTGCAATCTTGTGTATGCTTGCTTTCGTATGAACTCAGAAATCATAAAACAATTCTAGTTTTAAATAGTTCAGATAGTTAGATTCTCTATATACTTTTAAATAAAGATGGTCTATTTGCAAAATGTACGATTTAGTTGTCTTAAGCATGCAGCTGACGTTTGTCAAAAAAGAGAAAATTGCATAAAAACACTCGATACAGCACTCATTTGTACATGGAAATTGGAGGCAGGTGAGTAAATTTTCCATACAGCTCGGAAAAGGGTTTTTTTTCAGTTTATAAACACCGTCCATGGAGTGTCCTCCATAGAAACAAAATGCTCGCGATATTTCGCTTTGTCAACAATAAAAGCGAAAGGGTGAAAGCACATCGACGGTGAAAGTCCGAAACCACGTATCTCGTTCCTGTTTTATTTTTATGAAGGAGAAAAAATCGGCATCATTCCTCGTGTTTTCGCAGAATTTTTTTCACAACGAGGAGAAGAATTGCAATTGAATGGAAATTTTTAATATTTGCCGTTGAGTTTGAGTCCATATAAGAAAATACACTATGACACTTGAAGTCTGCGACGTCGTTAGGCGAAATACAAGGTTGCGGACTTACACCGTGGACGTTTAAAAGTTGGACATTACAACATTCAGGCTTCAAATTTTGGATGTGACGCAACAAACAGTCAAGAATCTCGAAGACAGTGAAACCGGCAACATTGTATCCGATAAGACGAGGGTTGACGAGAGTCCAGAACCCCCAACTTCTCCCCCGAAATTCACCTTCATCTCCGTTTCTCGTTGATAGTCGCGTTGTCACAAAGAATTCGGTCAGATCTGGATCTTTCAGAGATTCGTGATAACTCAGCTATGGGAGTATCAGGCCCCATCTCCGAACGTCACATCAATTGTAGCTGTGGCGCCCTCTGGTGAGTTACAATCAAGCAACACTTGACTCTTTCCAGCTCAGGATAATGAAAACTTCATCCATATCCGGTCAAAGGCCAAAGCACGAAAAGACTCGCCTTGACAGGTGCGACGTCAATGAAGTTCTGGTTTCCTCTCATCTTCTCGCTTTATCAATGAGACGTTATCGTCAGTACGGCCTCTCTCACTCACTTACTCTGTCTCATGCACACTAACTGCAGGAGAGGTGACTTTTGTGAAGTCTGTGCTGAAATGCCTTCCTCGAACATAAGGAAATATAACTTTTGATGGAATGCTCTGTCGAGTGACATCAGTGATCTGCTTCTTCGCTCACAATGTCAGTGAAGTTTTCATGGATTCTCATCGCCGCACACTTTTCTCGAACGCAACTTCAGTAATTATGCGCTGGAACGGAATTTTTAAAACACGAGAAAACTATGACTCTAGAGATAACGCAATCTGCCGGAAGTGCCATCAGTAAAGTTTTCTCTGGTTCCTACGAAGATGCGCTGCGTCAGTGCAATCTGAGTGAAGTTGTAACGAAAGTTGGACGTATTTGGATGGAACTATGTGCATTAACATATGAGCCTAGAGACCCGTAAGAATACATGCATAACAGGGCTCACGTCATGATGCACATAGTTCCGTCTGACAGAAATACGTCCAGTTATCGCAGAGATATACATTAAAAATGCAATTAAATGAGGTCCTCTTATTTCCTGAATACTACAGGAATCGGCGCTTTATCCAGAATATTTGTGACATTTGCGAAAATCTCGCCGACTCTTGCAGAAATCTGCCTTTACAACCTGAAATACTTGAACGAGGTCAGTACAATTAATTCTTCAGATTCGAAGCGCTAGCTCTCACAGAGGTGCGCTTCAGCAGTGCGACTTCATAGAGGTACTCGCCGCTTTTTCTTCTACAGCATGCCTCTTCGTGAATTTGTCTCTGAGAAGCTTATGAAAAGTTCTCGGGGAGACATTGCGACGTCATCGACATTGAATCATTGGCAAAGGTTGCGCTATGTATGAAAGCAACATGCGTGACGTTTTGGCCGCGGGATGAAGGGCAGCGCGGGCGGGAGCGGCGGTAGGGTGACGGCGCGGCGCGCTCTTCGGGGCGAGCGGAGGTCTCTCCAACTTTGGCAGAGGTGCGCTAGTCGGGAGCGGCATGCGTGAAGTTCTCTGGGCGAGATGAGAGGTGCCGTTGGGGCGGCGGGTTGGAGGAAACGCGGGCAATCACGCCGGTGGGTTCCTAGACGATGTGGTTCATGAGGGTGTTCTTGTGGTTGCGGACGGAGATGTAGGTGGAGTAGGTGTTGTGCCGGTGGAGGTTGCAGTGGTCGGTCATGACGAGGGAGTGCGAGCCGTTGGCGTTGATGTGGTGCTTGGCGGCGCACTCCTTGAGGCCCGGCACGACCGAGAAGGCCTGGCAGAAGCCGGCCCGGAACCTGGCGTTCATCCAACAGTAGATCACCGGGTTGTAGCACGAGTGGGACATGGCCAGCCAGTGCGTCGCGAACCACAGGTACGGGATCCCGCTCCATTTCCCCAGCGACTGGTTCCGCTCCCAGATTATCTGAAACAGAACAACATCATTCATACAATATAATGTCAATATTCACATCCCAATCATCATGGACGCAACAAGGAGAATAACTTCAAGTCTCCTTGGTCCCCTTCAAAAAATTTCAACAATTTTCCTATCTAAGCACATTTTCTTTCTTTGATATTGTAGTTTTACCAATTATTCTGCAACAAAAACTCAAAGTAGACAACAAAGACTCATTTTCCAAACTTTTCCCAAGAGGCCCATAGGTTTCCCCCTTTCAAATTCAGCAAGTCCCCTTTTTTGGAGCCAAAGAGGCCTTCAGACCCCGTTCATGGGGGGTTTCTTTTCGTGCCCCTCTCCCCTCGGATCACCATTAATGAGGTGTCCTTCTGGCCCACATTACACCAATCTCCTGGTTCTGCTCTTACCATCAATAATTGGACGTATTACTATCAAACGGAACTAAGCGCCATAGGGAGAGAAAGGGCGAGGGGGGCTTGGATTGGCGGGTGTTGCGGAACGCGATGCCTGTTCCGTCCTATACTCGCAATGCTTTTCAATGGCGCTTAGTTCCGTTTGACAGAACGCGCTGTCCGGGATTCTAAAATCCTCAAAAGGAACTCAATTTGGCGCTTAGTTCCGTTTCACATTTTTAAACCAAAAAACTCTACTTATACTGAAGGTTCGATGAGGCTTTTTCCTTCAGAGGCAGCACTTGAAAAGGTTAAAAGAGGAAGTCGTATATTTATCGAGTAAGAGAGAAAAATTTGAGCGCTAAGTGTTGTTACTGAACACCGACCCATCTTCAAAAACGACGAAGTAGCCAAATACCCCCATGGCAAAATCTCTCCGAAATGAAAGAAAATGTGCTAAGATGTTAAAATTTGGCCTAGTGACTCATAAAAGCTCCTAGTCACACCTCCTAGCGGTGGAACCCGAATACTTTCCATCGTTGCCAAGTTACAGCAAAATTCCGGTTTTTTTGGGGGGTCACCCCTCGTATTTTGAGCTGGTATGAGGATCCTCCAAAATCGGGTGAACTCGTACAGAAACATTGATGGCTGGGCTGAGCCTGGCTTGGCGGGCGCGGATATGGGAGGAACAGGGTGCGCTGGGCGTTATTGCCGATCGGGGCAGCGCGCGGCTCAATATCGATAATGACGCAATCAAAGCGATTATCCCCGCTAAAATTCGCACGCGCCCCGCACTCGGAAATAATAGACTGATTTATATCCCACAATTAATAATCTGAGGCGGCTATTCGCCAATTCCCCATTCGCCCCGCACCCATTATTAATTAGCGGCGTCATCCATTCGGCTTAGCTCCCTCCTGTCCCACGGCGCCAACCATCGACCATCGATATTATCCCATTCAAAACCATGCTCAAGAATCGATCATTAACACGCTCCTTGCCAACACTCTCATCATCGATCTTCCCACGTAGGTTCAGACGGAAAAATAACCCATGTATCGCAAAACACGAGCGAGTGCTCCGCGTGTAGGGTTTTAAAAAGGCTAAACGCGAGGGCTTCATATTAGCATACTTTAAAGAGGCGCGGCGCGCGGCGCGGAGAGATAAATCGGTCTTGGGGCGGAAAAGCGCCGAGGTTGACAGTTGGATGCTGGATTCGGCTGGGCGTCTTGTGTTCTGTGCGAAGCGCGAGAAGCATCATTTGTCTTCTTCGACAAGGATTCACTAACAGTTTTCCCTGTCAACTCGTCCAATTCAAGAGCCCAGGAATCAATTATTATGATTATCATATTCCGATCAATGCAGATCACATAGTTCGCATTTAGCAAAAAGGAACCAGTGCCATTACAGTATTTTCAAAATCCTCCAACTTTTTCTTTTCTTTTCGAAATACGTAATATAAGTGCAGTATTCAAATTCACACGGTTATTTTCCTTTAAAATTGACCATTTTTCGGTGGGAAGCAAAAACAATTAGATATTCTGGGAGATTTTTTAGATAATTATGAAGAAGCAACATTTTTACAACGATGTAATAGCGCTGGTTCCTTTCAGCAAAATGCGATCAATCTGGTAGGGACCGATACTGATACTGGTTTTCTTCTGAGATTAGGGCGGTGCTCGGGTTGAAAATCCACCCCCATTTCATTTTTGACAGGACAGCTTGAAATTTTTTTCGTTCGGTAGTACTTACAAAAGTAAGATTTTTTTCATTTGTGTAAAGATGTTTGCAAATCTTGCCTTATAAATTGAGATTTTATTAAATTTTAGAATTTGATAGTCTCTGAAATTTTTTGAGTTTCCGGTGAGCTAGTGATCTGAGATTTGCTTTAAAATGATCAGAATTCCTTTTTTTAGTATATCATCTAGGTAGGAATCGTTACATTTTGTACTAGAATTTGTTTATTTTTTCTTTTTACTTTTTCATGAATACTAGAAAATAACATGTTGCTCATTTGAAAAAAAAAAAAAAAAAAAAAAAATGGTGGTGTCAAATTTTTTTTTTAAAAAAAAAAACTTGCAATATTAGTGTTGAAAGGTTGAGCAACATTTTTTGAGATAAAATTAGGTATGCGAATTCCTTCTTAGAATGCACTGTTGATTTTTGCTAGCCATTTTCATAAAGCGAAATCCTTGCCAAAAAATAAAACAAATAACTGTAAACAAATTTTTGACAAGTAAGTGGTGATATTCAAAATGGCTATAAAAGGAATTTTAAAGACAAAAAAAATTATAACAAATAAAATTATGAAATTTCCCTTGGAGTAAATGGACTAAATTTTGCAATTAGGAACCCTGGTAAAAATTGGCAGTAGAATCTGTGTTCCAAAATACCATAGACCTACAGCCGGCTGTAAGATTTCCAATAGCTTCCATTGCCGGCAACACCATTTCTAATAGCCTTTTATAGCCGATGACGATTCAGCAACAGCCTGGCGATAAAGTATATGCTAAACTTTACTAATTACGGATGCTAGGACTTAGTGAGTTTTCGGACTACTGCTCTCTTTCTGGGCCGTAGTATCTTGATTTATTTTGCGAGGAAAGCTCCGTACTTTTGAAGGATGCCTGCCATTCCTAATATGTTGGAGCGCCTTCAGTTTCGTATGATACTGTGCAATACCTCTGGTGTGAAATAGTTGCTTCAAGCGCCGTGGTACGCTGTGGCGCGGCGGGCGGGCAGCCAGCGCGGAACGCGCATTGGCGCCTACAAACCTAACAGGGATACTTCACGCATTGCGCAATGCGTGAAGTATCCCTGTTAGGTTTGTAGACGCCAGTGCGCCGCCGCCGCTCCGCTTTGTGTTAGGCTCTAATATTTAATCTCGTGGAGTTAGCGTTTTTCAACTCATGGCTTTGCAATGTTTGCACACTCTGTATGGATTATTCTCATTTTAATTGATGAAAAAAAATAATATGCGTTTTGTAAATATTAAGGTGATTCGGTACAAACTTAAGGATTTACAAAGCACACGAATTTCTACAAAATTTCTTGTAGCCTTTTGTAGCCGATAGCAAAAAAGCAACAACCAGGCGATAAAGTGTAAAGCCCGGCGATATGAACTATAGCCCGGCTGCATAATTTTTTATCGCTTCGTATAGCCCGGCCGTATGATTTTCTCCGCATTCTACAGCCAGCTATATGATTTTCTGTAACCTTCTTTAGCCGGCTATAAGAATTCCTATGGTATTTTGAAACGCAGCTCCTATCGCCAATTTTTACCAGGGAACTGGAGTTTCTGGAGATTCCTGTGGAGAGTAGGCGTCGCAGAGCGCCTGAGCGCGCCGTAAAAGCGGCTCATACATACATACATACTGGAGTTTCTGGCTCGGTTTAGAAACAATATCATCCCTATGCACATGAGTGTTTTTACGGATGAGCCAGGATTCGTAGTTCCTAATTATAGAGAATGTAGTCCAAACCAAAACTCTCTCCAGGAGTGCAATCTTTTGGATGTGTTTCAATCAAACGGAACTATCTTTATTGTGACCTAGGCTTAAAAACTCATAAGCTCCAGGAGTGACTGGGCCCATGGCGGAATGGAGCTGGTTCCTTTTGATTTAAACACGTCTCAATTTTGTTTAATTTGGCTCCTATTCGATGAAGGTTATTTAAACAGCCTCACACGTAAAGGACCTCTCGTGACCTACTTCTCCCTGGCTTGATTTTTTTCCTGTGGAAAAGCTTATATGACATGACAAGCCTATACAGTAAGTAAAAAGCTCCTATATCATACGGATCTGAGTTTATGATTCAAGAGGTAAAAACCGGTTGGCGAAAAGGCAGCCACATTTAAAGTGCAAAGGATTAGAAGCTACTAATCATGCAACTTCTTCATTTCATTCAAGCTTTGTCATTACTATGTCTCAAATAAAAGCATGTTTGACGGAAATATATTTGTATTCGCACTTTTTTTTTAGAAAGGAGGTGTTCAGATGGAACACCGATCATGAGAGGTTGGTGGGAGGACAAAAGTGCCATATAATGTTTATCAATGGTAAGTTATGAGAGACAAAAACAATGTGAATTAGGCCCTCTAACAAAAAACGGATCAAAACAGAAGTTCGCAACTGCCATTGAAGTATTTTGTGAAGGGATTTTAGTAATTTTTTACCGTTCTCTTGCCGTGTGCTGCATCTGCAACTAGGGTTGGAGCCCTCCTTTCTAAGAGACTCAAAAAAAACTTTCTTCCTCTTCTACCGCTCTCATCAAGTTTGCGACAAACTGTGCGAGGTCCAAAAACATTTTTCTGCTAAAAATTACGCAATTATTTATTTTTTTAATTTACTCGTATTTCGGATTGTCACAATTGTCACTTAATGATGCTTAACTCTCGATAAAAAATAGAAAAGTGGTACGAAATCTGAGAGGTTGGATTTTGAGAAGCAGGGCTTTGTTTGAGCATTACGACATGCAACGAAGACGTTTTATCTTTCTGTAAAAGGCCTGCAATGTTTAGCGCAGGCAATTAGGACGGTTGCAGAGCACGAATGGTTGCTTGTCGGCTCGAGATGAGCTTTCCCGACGTTACACGGTGGTAAATCCCTCTTTGAC